TCTCTGATGTTGCTGCTATTTTCAAATATCCATTACTGTAAAAATGTTCATAGCTGCATATTGGTTATTTATTCTCCAGGTGAACAGTTTTATATTGTTAAAACACTTTACTGTATTTTATTGTTTATCTTTCAACTCTTCCCCATTATGTTATTCTTAGAAAGGTCAACATTTGTGTGACCATTTTTTCTATAATATTTTTGCTGCTATAAACGCCAGAATTTCCACTTTATGGGACAATAAAGGAATTTTCTATTCTATTCTATTAAAAGGGTAGAAAGATATAAATAAATCTAAACAACGTATGTATAAATAATAGATGTGCAAAATATCTAATATTCAACAACAAAAAATACTTAGTTAAGCAAATTGTGCAAAATAGTCCCCACACTACAGATATATTAGGATCTGTCCTTAATCGATTAATAATGGAATATCAGGAGGCTCCCTGAAGAAGACTTCTTACTAAATTAAAGCAGGTGAAACTAACTTTTCACACTTGAGGAGTTCTGAATAGAGCAGATAGAGGACAAAGGCTTTTTTTTATGCAAAATGTTTACATATTTCTGTACAATGTTTATATAATTCCTGCTCTAAGTGTTGCTCTAACAACTAAAGGCCTGTTTTACAGTCTCTAGTTAACGATTAATCCATTACTAAATTAGTTGACGAGTATTTCAATAATTGATTAACCACATAATGGATTAATTGCTTCAGCCTTAATACTTTTAATTCCTTATAAAGGGTTAAAGGCTTTGAACATGAGCTGAATTTAATCTGGCATCTTTAAAACCACTAAAGTGCAAAAGAGTGAAAAACTCCAAATTAGATGCTAACTTCAACAGCCAGAATCAGAGTGAAAAATCCTTAAAGTATAAAAATAATTTTTTAATGAAGGTCAACTTTAAAAGAGACTCAGAAATTAAGAAATGAATCTTTTAAAGTGTCTTTAGATAAACATCAGGGATGTAGTTGCAGCACAAACAGCCTGATGATCTCTAATAACAGATCAAATGGCAGCATATTTGATCTATATTTTAATTACAGTTTAATTTAATACTGGTTTCTAACATGTCACCAATAATAAAATAGCTGAAAACATGTCTTTAAACTTTAGTTTTTAACCCTCTGGTCAAAGTTATTTTCATAAATTCCAGTTTTAGCGCCTCAGTTCTATTTGTAGCCACAAGAGGGCGCTTTACCCCCACCCTTTAAATCAGATCAAATATTTAAATAGTGAACTATTTGAGATTAAAAACCAGAATTTTCTCCTTTTAGAGCTCAACAGAGTTTATTCCCTACATAAGTGGAAAAAAAAGGATCACATAAGAGAATATATTGATAATGAGTTTATTTAAATACGCATAAAAAAAAAGAAAATGGCTAAACTAAATACAGAATGTGGAAGGCTATGATCAACGTCCGACATTCAGAGCTTGGTACCGACAGTGTGGGAAGATAAAAATAAGCACTTGGATATAAAAAAAAATGGATATCTACATTGTAACATAATAAATGTAAATTATTTGACCAAAGTAGTAAAAGTCCAGCGTACATTTTTCCCTCAGTGATAAAAAAAACAACAACAAACAGACTGTAGTGACAGCTCTAAGAGCTCGGATAAAAGTAGGCGAGCGTTCGCTGAAACGTCTCCGTTCATCCTTTAAACTCTTCAAGTCTCTGCAAACAACCTGAAAACAATCTGGAGCGTTTTGACGGCTGCAACATAAAACATCCTACCTCTTTAAAATCCATCCAAAGCAGCTTTTTCTGTACCCAGCTTCGTCTCAAAGGCATTGTGCAACATTTAAAAAAAAACACCACAGTGAACATCTAGAAGGAAATTCGACAGCAAGTCGTGTGAAATCAAGAGGACCGACGTGGAGGTTAGGAAAGGGGCGCCACCTGGACCGGCTGGAGGATCTGTGATGAGTGCAGCTCTGACAGGTGGATTGTTGGCGCTCAGGGAGGCGGGACGTCAAAGCGAAGGTAGCGGGCGGCGTCTCGGACGGTGTCAACTATTCCTGGGCCTCCTTCCCGGTCATTTTGTAGATCTCAGTGGGTCCGTCTACGTGGGTGATGGTGGTGGTCAGCTGGATGTCTTCTCCGCTGGCGGCGCCGCCGTCACCTGGACACAGATCATCACAACCAACATTGAGGATTTTTAAATCTGGAGAAAAGAAATCCTTCAGAAACTTTTAGAATTAAAAACATGTTTGTGTTAAACCCACTTTACTCTGATGCCTGTAAATAAGTTCAATGTTAGCAGCTGTGTTCAGAGATGAACTAAACCGTCAACAAGTATGGAGAGAACTATGCTCCATTATTGTTGCAAAGAACATTTTATGTATATATTGATGAACATCATATATATATATAT